ATCATTGACCACAGCAGGCCTGCAAGAACACGGGAGGGCCATTTTTCTCATTTGTAGCAGGGATAATTTTTAACATGGTCAGACTTCTCCATGTTTCTTATTGGGTTTAAGTAATACTTTATCTTCACTATCTGGCTAAATGGTAGGCAAGACCAACGTCCCACAGTGTTTCATCCAATCTCAGTAACACAGTGACACTCAATTAGCAACCACTTGATGCCATCATTGGGTTGATTCAGATTTACACATACTTTGCGTAAACCCATTGAAATCACCTGACCCCATTTAAGCCTTGTTGATTTCAATGGGTCTCCTCTGAATAAATCTAGATCAAAACCCTCGAAACTCGGAGCCACCTCTGCGTATGACAGGGATGAGCAACTTGTGGCCTTCCAGATATGATAACCCACAACTCTCTCATCATTATGCTGGCCAGGGCTGATGGGAGTTCTAGGCAAAAACACCTGGAAAGCCGCTAGCTGCCTATCCCTGAGCACGGCCATCCTAGTCAGGGGATCAGTGAAGTAAGCATGGCAGAGGAAGGGCAGCCAAACCCGCCATCCTATCGCTATTCTTACCCCAAAGGCAAGAATTTTTGCGGAGAAGAAACTGGCCATATTTTCTGCAGGAATCTGCTGTAAATTGAGTAAGTCTGGCATATGCAACTGGTCTAGATTGCATAGAGTTCCTATGATCTGAATACCTCCTGGCCATCCCTACTCCATTTCCTATGCGACCCCAGTAGGATTTCAAGCTCATTTTCTTCCCCCTCCCCCCATGTGAGTCACAGAGCCTATACTCACATATCTTTAAGATCAGAGCAGAGTTTGGGCTTTCATTTACCAGGAACTTCACCCACCCAAACCGAAGGGCGAGTCCTTGAAGGATTATATGTGCCACAGGCAGAGCTGGTTCCAGCAGGACTGGAGAAGCAAAGGCCATGGGCTGCGTACAGGCATTCCCTGCCGCAAATTCCAGGCCGAATGGCAGGGCTGGAGAGGTCGCTGCAGGGAGCTTTGGGAAGCCCTGCCAGGCATGCTTGGTGAGATGGACTAACGGTCCAGATTCGGGTAAGACAGTTTTACATCCCTGACAGGCGTGCTGAGGCTGTGCCCTCAGTGCTGCTAAATGGCAGGAATGTGCAGTGATGACAACGATGACGATGATGTTGAAATGACCCCAGAGCAGATGCACTGTACCTTTCCTTCTCAGGCAGGTCACTGAAACCAAGAAATTACGAAGCATCCATAATACAAACAGGGGCCTGGCTTTTGCCACTCATGCCCAGCTAGGTGCCTGCATTTGGATTGTCCCCGTGTGTCCTGAAGGCAGTCCAGGAACACCCAGCTGGCACAGAATGCAGCGGCTGGCTTGCTATCTGGGAGTAGCCAATCTGAGCAAATGTCCTCACCTTCCGAAACATCTCAATGGCTGTTGGCCTGTTTCTGACCTCATTTCAAGGTGCTGAACTTGACAGATCTCAGCATTCTGGGCCTTACATGCTTCCAGAAGAAACCCTTTGCACCTGTGGCTCTCCTGGGAAGCCATGCTCCATGCGCTCCAGGGCCGGCTGCAACCTGCTTCACCCCTCTCACCATGTCCGTAATGGTAGGCCTGATATAGCGAATGATGCAAATGTTCTGAGGCTTTATCATGGATGACAGGGGAGTAGAGGGGATCCATGTCCTCCCACCTTTCCCAATTCAACTTCACTGCCTCAGCCTCTGACACACTTTCATCCCCAGTTGGGGCAAACGAGTGCCTGCTCGTGATGGCCGTCCAATTGCACTACAACCCATCATCGTGCAGGCAGGTGGGAATTAGCCAAGCTCCCATGTAATGCTCTGGATGGACTTTGCTCCTTGAGCCCTGGACCTCTGGAAAAAGCTTCCTTGCTGCAAATAGCCCTTAGGCTCCTGTGGAACATAACCCTGCTTGCCACCTGCCTGGACTCTGGCAACACCTTTGAAGGATAGGCTGGGCGGTCACAAGAAAAAGACTTCTTTCTGTTACGGCGTGCATTTCCAAGGAAGCTTGTTAGGCCCTGTCTCTGGGTTCCTTCTGCGAGAACAAAGATTTCTCCCTTTCAAAGGCCATTTAATACAGTCCAATAATGAAATTTTAAAATGGTGCAGTTGTATAATCTGTTGTGATGGGGCCCTTTTCCCTTCTCTCTCTCACTGTGCATGGGTGTTTTATAGCTATGCGTGTTGTTTAATTAGCTTGTAAACCACCCCTGAGCCTATGTTTTAGAGAAGGGAAAATAATTGTGCCCATAATTGGGAAGGAGGTGGGTGATATGTGTTATTATAAAACCCATATTCATGTAATAACTTTATTACATCAACCATAAAGGTTGGTAATATGCATTGTGAGATTTCTCTTATGGCCAACCATGCTTCCTTTCATTTCTTATGCATTATTCTGCGTGCTCATTTACGACCTCCTTCGGCCCTCGGGGTTATGCTGCAATCAACTGGAGCGAGAATTGCCATCATGAATATGCAGCTGAAGTTGCCTGGAAGTCTGCCTGAGCAATAGTTCAATATTCATGTACTAAAGATGGACAGACTATACCAGCAGCACACAATTATATCAGGCTAAAACCCTGTCCCATCTTTTATATGATACAATTCTGGGTCCCCTTTTATCCAGCTTTGGCCCTCTAGAACGGGGGTCCTCAAACTTTTTCAACAGGGGGCCAGTTGACAGGTGCCAGCAGTGCGCATGGGCCGCCAAGGTGGTGCCGGTGATGTGCGTGGGCCGGTGAGGGGGTGGGGCGCACGCACATGCACGCACACGCGAGGCAAGGCAGGGCGCGGGGCGAGGCGGCAGCTTGCTCGAGAGGAGGTCGTTTTCTCCAAGCAAGTCCCAAAGGACCACTTCGCGAGCACGCTGCATGCCCGCACAGCGAGTGCAAAACCTCTGGGGCGGGCCGGTTAAATGGGCATGGCAGGCCGGATCCGGCCCACGGGCCTTAATTTGAGGACCCATGCGCCAGAAGGTGTCCAATCAAAGTTCCCAAGATCTATATTTCAAGTATCTAGCTAGCTGGACCTCCAACGCGAGCTTGTGCTTGACTTCCAGCTTAAGAAAAGTTGAGGCCGGGGTTTCTCTTGCCTCTGTCGATTTTTGGCTCCAGCTGAATTACAGTCCCGAGGGTTTGACATCTTTGATCCTCTGAGATAATGTTCAGTCTTCCGGGGTTTTCCCCGAGGCCGCCCTGGCAGTGGGTTTGCACCAGGCACAGGTGGCCGTGAGGCAGAGGCTGCTAGATCCTGAACAGCAAGAGGGTGTTACAAGCAGCGCTCCAAACGTTCTGGCAGCAGAGAACACAAGCTACGCTGCAGCACCAGCTGCCTACCTCTCACTAGGAGAGCTGCCAAGGCATGCATAGGAGGGCTCCCTTTTCGGCCAGACGGAGCGCGCTCCCCTCAGCTGTGGTTGACGGCTGCCACAGGAGGCTCCCCATGACAGAGGGTTTGTTTGCCCCTGTGGGTCTGGAGGGGTGGGAGCAGTACAGCACCTCGGGCTGCGTTGCTCGCTCTACCGGGAAGCACATGGCGGGCTCATCCTCTCTTGGGGGAGAAACTTACCGATCCCTTGGATGTGGGGGTGCTCAAGAGTTTCTTATGGGAATTAACCCCCAGATCACAGCCCAGAGGGTGAGCTTTTTGGCAGCTGCTTATACATTCGACCGGGTGTTGCCTGCAATGAGTATAAATTTTAATGCCCGACCTTCCTCCCTCCCTCCCTCCCTCCCTCCCTCCCTCTCTCTCTCTCTCTCTCTCTCTCTCTCTCTCTCTCTTTAATATGACGTGCATTATCATCTGTTCAGAGTTTGAATTTTAAACTTGAATGCGCAGTGCTCGGGATTTTTTTCTCTGACTGTGCTGCTCTTTGACTGTTTTAAGAACCTGGCAGGCTGGCCTCCCTTGCCCTCCCTTGCGCTACCACGGGCGACGTTGGTGCTAAAGATGGGCTTCCTGACTGGAGCACTCATTCCATGTCTTTGCTCGTTCCCCAGCAATGCAACATGACAATGACGGTTGCAACAACGCTACGTGAAGAGAAGAGCGTTCGGGAGATACTTTGAGAAGTATCTCCAACGACAAGCGCAAAAGTCTGCCCTCGTGCATAATAAAGGGTAGGAAGAGCTTTGTAAGCCGCCCCGAGCTTTCTGCGATGGGGGCGGCATAAAAATGCTATAAATAAATAAATAAATATTTCAGCCTAAGCATCAGACGTAAAAATTCACAGAAAACTCGTTCCAAAACTGGTTGGGGCTGAATATAAAGTCGGAGGCACCAAAGATAAAAGAAACGGGCCCACATTTACCCTTAGGAGAGACTTGTCAATCTTTCAGAATGGGGGAGGGGTGCACAAAACCCGGGATGGCCCCAAAGAGTTCGCAGCTGGGGGGAGGAGCAGGCATGTCTCGGTAGGATGCCCCGCAGGTGCGGCTCGGGGCTCCAGGCCTGCGGCCCCCTGCCCTGCAGCGCGCCGCGTGGGGGCCACGCAGCCGAAGGCGCTCGGCGCGGCGATGCGCTCGGCCAGCCCGGCGTGGGCTGCCTTGCGCTGCGGCGGGGAATCAGGGCAGCCGCCGCCGCCGCAGGGCACGCGCGCGGGCTCGCTCCTCCCGGCGGGGCGACTCCGGCCGCGATCCTACCCGCAGGGGCAGCGAAGGCCGTGCCGCGTTCTGGGCGGAGCCTCCTGCGACAGGGGGGCGGGCGGGAGAGCCTGCGGCGGGGCCGGCCCCCCCACGCCCGGGAGCCGCGCCGGCCGGGGCTCCCCCAGGCTGCGCGACTACAAGTCCCAGACGCCCCGGCTGCGTGGGTGGCCTCTGCTTCACTCCACCCAGCGCGCTCTCCGCAGCTTGGAGCGCCAGGCGGCCCCCGCCTCCCTCCGCAGCCGGGCGCCGGCAGCACGGCAGCAGGTGGCTGCGCCCGCCCGGGGAGCGCTGCAGCGGCGCCCGCGCCCGCCGCCGGCCGAAGGCGGGCATGGCCGTGGCCGCCCCCGCGCTGAGCCGGGCCGGCGTGGCGCGCTTCCTGCGGGAGCGCGGCGGCGCGGTGCGCGTCTCGCTGCTGGTGAGCCACTTCGCGCCGCTGCTGGAGGCGCCCGCGGGGGAGCGCGGGGAGCCCGCCGAGCTCCGCGAGCGCTTCGAGGGCTTCGTGAACGACGTGGCCGTCGTGCGGCGCATGGACGGCGCCGAGTTCCTGGTGCTGAAGCCGGCGGCGCACGCGGCCGGAGCGCGTCCCTGCGATGCCGAGGGCGAGGAAGAGGAGGGCGAGGGAGAGGAGGGCGAGGGCGCGGCCCCCCCGGCGCCCGCTCCGCATGCCGTCGTGGGGGCGCCTGCCCGGGACTGCCCCGAGGAGAGCCAGGCTGCCCTGCCCGTGGCCAAGTTGAAGGACTTCTTCCAAGGCGGCGACCCGGAGCCCCCCAAAGCCCCCGGCGGCAGCGCCCTGGGGAGCGCCCGGGCCGCCCCGCAGAAGCCCTGCATGCTGCCGGTGCGCTACGTGGTGCCCGCCAGTGCCCGCGGCCGCGGGGCTGAGGAGCCGCGCCCGGAGCCGGAGCCGGAGCCGCCTGCAGGCGCAGCCTGGCGGCAGGTGGGCCAGGTGGGCCCCCGCGCCGCCACTCGGTCTGCCTCCCCGCAGCGCAAGCAGGAGCCGGCCGAGAGCGGGCCCAGCTCGCCTCCCCTCCGGAGGGCGCCGAAGCCTCAGAAAGTGGGCGAGGAGGCAGACGGGCCCCCCCCCACGGTCCCGCTGGAGGCGGCCGAGCACGAGTGGCTGGTCTCGGCCACCGCTGGCCAGTGGTCCCCGCGCCTCCACGGCCTGCTGCTGCACGACAGGAGCCTGGCCAGCAAAAGGGACTTCATGACTGGGTTCACCGTTCTGCACTGGGCAGCGAAAACGGGCAACTGTGACATGCTGCAGAAAGTCATCGAGGTGGCCCGGGCAGACGGCGCCCACTTTGACGTGAACGCCCAGTCCTTCGGGGGCTATACGCCGCTCCACATCGCCGCCCTCCACGGGCAGGAAGACGTCATTGTCCAGCTGGTGAAGGACTACAATGCCAAGGTGAGCTTGAGAGACTACAGTGGGAAGAAACCATTTCAGTATTTAAGAGAAGGGTCTTCCTTTGCTGTCAGGCATCTCCTGCGTGACCCGAATCTTCACACGGTCTCTGGACAGAACACCTTCAGCAAGAAGAATGCGAAGGTGGCTGCTTCTATTCTGAGCTCCACCAGCACCGTCCTGGGGCTTCTCTCTGATGACACCGCCTTCTATGAACTGACCAAGGGCTTGAAAAAGACCGCTTCCCTGAACAGGCTTCTTCATGCAGCCACAGCCTCAAGGCGAAGGCTGAAGTCCAAAGGAAGCTTCTCATCCTATTCTTCCTTGGTTGAGGCAGTAGAAGAAGAGCAGGAAGAAACCACAGTAAAGCGGAGGCCTGTTTCAGAGTTGTTTTTTGGTCACTAGTCTCTGCTTTACTGAAGTCAATTTATATGAATATTGAGGCAGACATCCGCTGGTCATTTTGTCACAGTAGTACTTTCCTTTTGTGTGCTTGTATGTTTCTCTTTAACAGATCTAATCTAAGGAGCAAAAAATGGATTTGCTCACAGAGTGTATGTAAACATTGGTTGCAGCATTCTAGTGACCTTTACCTCACACACACAGTCGTTTCACTGAGAACAAAGGAGGCTTCCAGGTAGAGGAATTCTATAAAATCTGTCCTTCCTTAACAGGTTTTTTCTTTGCAGAAAAGAGAAGGAATGGGAGAATATGGAAGGGGTACAGACGGAAGTCCCCATCATCTGGGGTCACTATAAAATTCCTTGACAGGGCAACCACCCAATAAAAACTTAATCTGGAAGCATCCAAACATTGACTGAGAAAAGTTAGGCTTGCTAAATTGATGTGAAACTTCATCAGGGTTTTGGAAGGTTTGTTTGCTTTTGTGAGTAAAATTTAATGTAGGATCTTTCAAAACTGTAGTTTTATATTCATTTAATTGAATGAATTATAAGTCCCATTAAAACCAGTGAGACCATTTCTGATGGCTGCCACTGCATTGGAAGCAGTGCATGTTGAAACAAAAGCACTATGTTTCGTTTGTTGTCTGCATGAGTCTCCAGAACAAAGTGCTTGACTTAAAATATCTTTCAAAATGCTTTTTGGAAATGAAAAGGCTTGTTGGAGATTCAGAACTTCCAGCCAGCTCTGCCAGAGCAGATTAACGTGTTGGGTAAAAGGAGGGTTCTCTTTCCTAATGACGTGCCATTTTCAATATTGGAAATGTACAACCATTTTTGTAACAGTTTGCACTGGGTGCACTTTTTATGACAGTTCCCTTAATTTTCAGAGGATCTGGCAGTCCTGTGGTTAAAAGGCAAGAAAAATTAGGGAACTGTCATAAATTACTACTTTGATTTTTAAAGAGGGTGCTGGAAATTAAAAACATGTCTTTTTACAGTGCCATCTAGGAAGTACTTTTCTACGTACTTGACTATGTGCAGAACACAAAATACCTACTGAAATTATGCTTAGAAAATGAACCAGCTCTAGCCAACTTTAAAAAAGAAAATCCCTAACATCTCTACCTCAATCTTTCATTTATATAGCCAGTTATTTCTTGTTTTTTTCCAAGAATATCTATATAATGCTTGTTGGAAACTTGTGAAATATGGTGCAATTCTGAATGCCTAACAGTTTGACAAAATATAATACGACTCTCTGCTCTCTCTGAAAGTGATGTTTTTAAAGTGTAGCAACAGGAGGGAAAACTATTTAGAGTATTTTTATACAAGGAATAGCCTAATGAAAGCATAGCAATTTAGGCACTTATTTTTCTACAGTTCATGGTATAAACACTGAAACATGTTGACATATTTACAGTAAGGAACTTTTAAGCCAGGTTTGGACATGTTAGCTGTTCCATCAGCCAACCTTGAGTGCCTAAGAGTATGTGCGTCTCAGTAATATAAAAAAGCAAGCGCCGGTACACCTTCTGCATGTCTACTCAGAAGTAAGGCCTGCTGAGGACTTACTTGCAGGTCAGAGTGTTTTAAGCTTTTAAATGCATCCCATACAGTTTTTATGGCTTCATGGGCACTTTTGAAAATACATTGTGGATTATTTTAAGCTTGATGGAGCATCTTGTTTTGATCATGCTTTGATTGAACTAAAGGTCCTTCATATTTGGGTAATTATTGTACCATTTTACAAAATGATGGATAGTTGTTTAGTATAAATTGATTTTAATACAATTGATTATTCAGTGTTTGGGGACCTTATATATTTACTTGGAAGTACTTCTCATTGAGTTGAACGGGACTTACTCCTATTAAAATTGTATCAGACTGAAGACTGAGAGTGTTTTCACATAAAACACATTGTTGTACTTTGCTGTGCATGCCATGTGCAAATGCTGCTAATTGAGTATAGGGCATCATAAACTTTTACATGTATGCTGGATAATGAATCAAAATCTATTTTAAACATGAATATGCTCACTTGAAATATTGTCATAAATGTGAGTGGAAAGCAACCTTTATGTAATGCTAATACCTGTTAAATTTAATGGTTTTCCAGTGCATTCAAGATTTATCAGCAAGCAGACATTCATAAAGTGAAGCTTCTCCTGTTGCCATTACTATTTCATATGGGGAAGGCTTTCCTCACTGAAGGTCTGGCTGCCATTGTAGCTTCTTATTTAGATGCACAGAGGAAGTCATACACTTCTGCAAGGTGGTTAACCCCACAGTCAAGTCTTACTCAGCAAAGGGGAAGTAGAGAAGCAGAAACTGAAATGTACTGTAAGGTAGCTCTGCTGATAATAGTGGGATTATGCTTAAGGACAAAGAATACTTAAATGGTTTTCAGTATATGTCACTTTGCATTACATCACAAGCTGCATGGCACAATACACGCCAAAGCGTATTCCTGTTTCTAAACCCTGAAGTTAAGCACATGAATGTCGAGACAGATTTACTTAAGAGTTACTTAAAGTGGTTTGAGTTGAGAACTGAACTTCGATTTCCTTTAAACCATTCTTTATGGAATGTTGTTTCCTTGTACTGCCTTAAGAAGCCATTGTTCTTCTGATACTTTTTAAAGTCCTTGTTTCTGCTACAACAAGATGAAGAAATAAATAAGCATATGTGACTGAAACTACTAACTACAATCCTTTGTTAAAATTCATTAGATGTTTTAAATTTTAATAGTGACTGCTTTGAAACTCTTCAAGGTCAGTGGCTCTTGAAATGTTTTGACATCAGACTTGCATTAATAAACTCAGAACTTACTATTTCTGACTACGTGTGTGCATTCAGATCTAATGGTCTTTGCTAAAGCATTCTACAAGCTGCATACTAAATATGCTCCACAAATAGGGAAAAGATTGTCACCTGTAACCACTATGCCACTAGAAAGTATAAAATGAGCAGAAATAGATACACTAAGGATTTTTATATTGCTGTATCTCTAGGCTAAATTTTTACTAGTCCCATACCTGTTGAAATCATGGGAGCCTGCCCAAAACAAAAATGCTGGTTATTTAGGGTGCTTCCTGACAGAAGGAGTACCAATTAACACACTTCTTTCAGCTTTTCCATCTTTGGTTCCTTAACAGATTATTCAGGGTTAGAAGCAGCTATGGGAAAACATGGGGAAATTACAAGTGGAGGACAATTATGTGACTGGAACAGGGTGATGACAAAATGAAAGCCTCATCTTGAAGGACCTGTCGTCTTCCTCCTCTTGAATGACGCCCTCTGCAAGTACCTGCAGTACGACCACAGATTTCTTACCTGTAAGACTTGCAAGTTTAAACCAAAATCTAAGGGAACACTAAAACATTTTCTCTCTTTGGCCACTCGTTTGTGTCTCCACTTTAGTAAGTCCAATTCAAATGCTACATTAACCATTTCTTAGTGAGCAATGCCATTAATCGATGCTAGTTATCCAAGCCTTGGTTAATTAACAGATTGAATGATCAGTAATTAATTTCATTCCCATGAGACTAGACATAATTGTTCTGCACAAATTATATATAACTATGATGACAGGAAACTAAAACAATCCTTTATTCCAAGCTTCTGCTTTATATGCTCTGATTTACTTTAGACTATATTGGATGCACATTCATAATTACCCATCAAGTTGCTTCATTCTGAGCTAAGAAAATGCTACCAAATTTATATGGTACATATTTTCTATACCTGCAGGCAAGCAAAACTATGTATAAACCACATCTGAGTCATATGAAATGAAACCATCCATAGTCAGTCTAATTTTGATTGAAGGCATTTGCCCTTAAACATGTCTGCATGTTAAATAAGTCAGTGGGTAATTCTGTCAAGTCAACATCTAACATAGCTTCTATTTTTCAGAAATTTATGGGATTAATCTGTTGATTCTTCTATTGACACAATCCTCATCAAAGCAACTAGTAGTTCTTTTCAATGAAAAGGATCTAGAAATTAAGCTTATGACTGATTCTTGAAATGTGTGAGAACATGTATGCCATCACACACAGTCATTGTTTCTTTATCCTGTTATTAGCATAGTATACCACCTTCAAAACTGAAGACTTATATAACATTTAAAATTAATTAAATGGATTGGAGAAGATGGATCTTTATTTAAAATCTAAAATGCATCCAAACCACTTAGGACAAATTAGCTATAAGCAGTCAAGAAACCCAGAATTAAGCGTACTTTTCTTTCTTATTTTGAAATATAATCAGTACATATACATTAGACCTTTAAATCTGAGCCTATGCCCTTTAGGGATGACACTTTTTTCTGGCAGAGGCTCTATGCTTTTAAAAATAAGCAGGACTGACAAAATGCACTGCTGTGAAAATCATATTAGTGTTTATGGAACATCTGCCTGCTTTGGACCTGATTAGAAGTATTATAGACACCCCTAAAAAGAGACAGCAATGCTACTCCCCATGGCTTGATTCTGGAATTACATAGCAATCCTCAATGTTTCAGCCAGTGTGTGTGTGTGTGACTGTATTATTAGCTCAACATCAACTGTGGTGGTTCTTCACAGTTGTTCGCCCCTCCCAAATGCTTGCTTACTGGCAGGGCAAGGCACCACTTATCAACAAACCACAAATTTTATTTTACCTAGCAAGGTATCCACACCCAGCTGCACTGGGCTAAAGTCCACCTAGGAAGGCACCTATGCAAATACATTCTCAAATAGGAAGCTGTTTTATCACATGAGAGTTGTAAAAATTCTAAATACAAGTTGTGATACAGGCTTTAAGGTCCTGCTGTTGGATGTGTAATACCCTTTAGCAACTTCTCTCCAATGGAACCCCAAAGAATTTGTGGGAAGGATTCATTTTGCAGATGGTAGAGCAGTCTCAGTGTGGGAGAGAACATCCTTTTTCGTTTTACCCTTTGTTTTGTTTCTCTTAAGCTTTGCTGCCCCCCATCACCCTATTGTTCTCAGCAGGAGTGAAATAAGCTACATTAGCTCCAACAACTTTCCTTTGTTTTCTGGGTTCTTCAGGGAAATGTAATGACTTTGGATCTGTGGATCTACAGTCTCTCCCAACACATCTCTTCTCTTTTGTCCTCTCTGCAGTTCTGACTTTGGAGAAGAACCCGTGGCAGAACTTTCCACAGTTGCAGGAAGAAGGCTTGCCAGGTTGGTTCTCTCCATCTAACAGCAGATCTCTCAGTCCTCAGATAGGAAAATACAGAAATACCCAATATGGTCCCAAGAGACCCTAGGCTTGCATTCTTATACTTCCAAAGGTTTGCTGCGCAGAAGATACTACATATGGAGAAAAGAACTCCTCTTAATTTAGCTTTAATCAAAGCTAAAACTTACTGCCATCTGCTTAGAAATCCAGTGCTCTTGATCACATGATCTCTTTCAGTCTGTAGTTTTCATAAATGTGTGTCTTGGCTTTCTGAGGAGCCAAGAATTTATCTAGCTGTTCTGTGATCAAAACCCCTGCCAGTTTAAGATGATGGTCAAAGCAAGAACTTGATACCTTAACTGATTTACCTTATGATCAATATTGATTATGCATAATGTTGGAAATTGTGCTTGCTCACAACTTACCCTCTATGCACCCCCACTTTTCCTTGGTTTTTCAGGCCCAAACTGAGATGGGTAGGCCTGGAGCATCTGAACCTTCCTGTACTGCTAGAGCAGTCCTCCTGTAAGTTGGCCCATAACTGCTTGATGCTTGGAGGTTTGAGCTTCCAAGTTCCTGGCTTGTGGATCTTGAGCCCACATGTGATAGCCTTAACTTTGAACTTTAAAATGGCAGGATTTTTGTTAAATTTCCAGGCTTTAAAAAAAAGGAAATGTATTATTAACATTTTTTTTAAAAAACACACACAACAAAACACAAACAAGTCATCAAATGGGTAGATTGTACCCAGCGGGTACACGACTGGTAAGTCCCTGTATGTTTGGAATCACTTACTTCTGAATAAGCCTGTGCTGCAAGACTCCAGCATAATTTTTGCTTTCCTGTTCCTCTTTATCATATCAGTGAGACTGATTTTCTCAGACCTGAAAATTATCATCTGTTATCAGTTCCCTGCTAGCCCTTCCCCACCAGCAGAATGCCAAACAGTGGAGTTCAAAGCACTGGCGTACTGACAGCATTCACAGTGAAACTGAGAAAGCCTTGCCTAGCTGCTTGAATTGGCTTTCATGGGCAGTAAAACCTAGATAACTTTTAAACTGTTGCTGAGTATTCTGTCAAATGAGTGAAAGGCACATCACTTCAAAAAGTTTGAACAAGGCACAGCCATAGTTATCCACATGATTTGAAAGAAGCAGATTGCCCGCTGAGCCATGTGCCAATTTTCAGCATTTTTGAACTGGTGATGTCTGCGGTGACTTGAAATTGGTTCGAAAATTTGCACAACTGTAGACCTCATCAGGAAGAGTGTGGTTGCCAAGTCGCAAATTATTAAGTCGACTGGTGCCATTTCCAAAGGTAGTAGATTTTTGAGGCATGTAATGGCAGAATGTTAGAATTCACCTTAACAAAATATTTCTTACTGTTCGTCTGTCTGTTGCTCCACCTTGAAAGATATTGGAGCATTGTTCAACAATAAGCATAAAGGTACTTCAAAAATGCCAGATTTGGACAGGTTTTTTAGACAAATTATCTGCTAAGATTCCTAGAAAATCAATTGTGCAAGCTGAACATGGAGCATTTCAAATGAGCAAACCCCCTGCATTATCCATTTTTCATGCACTTCCACAGAAAATTTCACAGTGGAGCAAGGACGTTTGTAGCACACTTTGTGACCAGCTACTGTGTAAGGCTCTGGATCTGCTTCCATGCAGACGAGCGTGCTCCACTTTACAAGGTGGGTTGCACAACTTTTGAAACTGATGGCAGCTTGCCATGTCTCTTTCAGTGCTTTCTGCCATGGCTCTGCAGGTTCTTGGTGACTGGGTCCCTTTCTGCAGTCCCTTGAAGGTGGATAATCATTTCTATATGATCCTAGAAGTCGAATATATCAACAGTGAAAAAATAACGTTCCAACATTTCTTATGTGGAAAAAAACACTTTTAATTCATCATGGGACAGACGTCATTTTGCTTGCCTCCTGCTCTCTGTGTGTCGAGTTTCTTGCCCTGCATTCCCTTGGGGTGCTTTGTGATTTGCTTGGCATGTGAATCAAAGCAAAAGTGGGCACAGAGACAGTAATTGATGTTTCCAATGATTAGTGCTAATGAAGAAGCCTCTAAATGAGGATATTCACAGGATGCCCTTGGTATGTGCCATTTGCTTACTGCAAACGTACAACATAATGATTATCTGCAGTAAACGGATCAACTGAGAACAATCTGCCCCTCTTTACCAGGGACAGACCCATTTTCCAGTCCTGCCAAACCACTTGGCGTATCTCTAGCTTTCCGGGATGCTACTTGAAAATGCCTTCACTGTTGGCACATTGCTAAAGTTACTGTTCTTCAAGCCTCCAGCAGGATGATGACCGGAAGATGCCCAAGTGCCTCTTGTGAGATTCAAGATCAGCAGGGAAGCCTTTGCTTGTGGTACTTTTGAGTAAAAAGAAATAGGCTCAGTTGCACTCTGTGCAATTAACATAATAAACTGAAGCTCAATCCAGACAAGACGGAGGTCCTGTTGGTTGGCGGACTGGGCTTCAGAGAGGGTGAATTGAACCTAGTCCTGAATGGGGTTGCACTCCCCCTTAGGGACAAGGTCCGCAGCCTGGGAGTGCTCCTCGACCCAGAGCTTTCATTGGAAGCTCAGGTGACAGCAGTGGCGA